TCCTAGATTCTTGGTGTTTTGGATCAATGCCAAGTGGCCTGTACTGGAGTCATTGAATGGAAGAAAAAAACAGAAGAAAATGAGTGAAAAATGGACGAAATGGTGCCTGCAAATCCCTGGTACTGCTGCTCTTCTTCGTACGAAGAAGAGGAGAAATCCAGTTGATTTTTCCCTTTTTTTTTTCCAAAAACTGCAAATTTCCTCTTTTGATTTTTCTTTCTTTTTTTTTCGCTTTTCTTTTCTTTTTCTTTTTTCGATTTTTCCAAAGTGAATTTTTATCCGAGAAATAGAAATGAAACAAAAATAACTTAAAAAATAAATTGATAAAATTTTGGTGTCTACATTGTCGCTGCCATCTTCCTCTCTCTTTCCTTCCTCCTTATTCACCACACCCTTTCCCCACTACCATCCCATCACCTACCATCATCATCCTTCTCTTCCTTTTCCTTCCCTCCCCTCCTTATCCCTCCCACGTCCTCTATGCCCCTTCCTCGCTATCCCCTGCCCTTTTCCCCCTCTTTTCTTTTTTTTTTTCTCCCCTTATTCCCCAAATTCCACCCGTGCTTCCCCTCATCTCTCTCCCTCATGGTGACCAAATTAGGTCATGAAGAAGGATGGTGTAGCAATAGGGAAAAGAAGGATAATAGGTGGTGGGGAAGGGAGGAGAGAAGAATAGGAGAAAAGGGATAAAGAGGAAGGGTGGCAGGGGGCAATGAGAAAGAACAGGGAGGGATGGCAGATGGTGGTGGAGAGAAGAGAAAAGGAAACCGATAGTAGGTAGGGAATGGGAGTAATGGTGGTTGTTTATGGATATAGTGGCAAGGGTGGACAGCGTGTGATGGGTAATGAAATTTTACTAATGTTCCCCAGACACTTAAATGTATAAAAATTTTCATAAAAATTCTATAATAAACTATAGAAAAATTTTAGACAAACTCCCAAAAAATACACCATCCAAACAAATCCCTAATTTGTAAACATATTGGTATTTTAAGAAATTTTAAAATTATTCGTCTTAGTTTCTTTTTCCCATCATTTCTATGCATCTTTTAGATGGAAAGTAGGTTTTATAAAAGAAAAATAATTAGACCTTATTCCTCTCTTTTCCTTCCTATCCTTTACTTTTCTTGCTCAAAATTTAATCTAAATACAAAAATCCGTAGTCTTCCATTTTCTTTCCTTTCCTTTCCTTTCCATTCCATTCCCTTTTGTTCCCTCAAAATAAATAGTCTAAAAATTAAGGTTGATACTCAGGAAGTGGAAATCTTTGGTTCAATTTCCTATCCTAATTTCTTAAATTCCATCTTTCTCCAACTAAATTTTTTATTTAAATATATATATATATATTTGAGGTACCCTTGCATATTTGTAAACGGCTTAGTGCACTACAAGAAATTTGGCCTTTTGTGACAATACAAAGTCATCACTAAAAATCCAAAAGTCGTTATTATATGAATATAGTGACGACTTTTCCCATTGTCACATCGTTGTCACTAATTCTATGTCACAAATAGGTACCTGTGACAACCTTATAAAGTCGTCAATAAATATTAATATTTAATGACGAAGAATAAGTCGTCACTAATGAATAGTTTTCTGTGACGACATTTCTTGTCACTGTTTCAAAAATTTTTCTGTCATAAAAGATAGCAAAAGTCGTCACAAATGTAGACCTGCACAGTGACGACTTGAACTTGTCACTCTTACTCCTAGTATTCTGTGACAAGAATGGTCGTCACTTACAAATTTGTTTCCAACAGCTGCAATTGTTCATTCCAGATATAACATTGCCATGGCTCTCGTTCTGATAGTTATAGCCAAAAAAATTAAATTTGGCTAAGAGTGACATCTTTTGGGGAGGTTGTCACTGAATTTTTTCTAAAGGAGTTGAAATTAACCAATACAAATATAGTATTGCCATGCCATTTTCAACAAATATAACAAAACATTCAATTTGACAAAAGGCAAAACCAACGTAGAATATATGCCACAAATTCATATATTTGGCCATAACACATCTCCAAATTAGTCAAAACAGAATTGAACCACAAATGTTGGGAATATAGTAATCCCACATAATCAGTTGTAAGTTCTAATGGCCAATACATATTCTTCCCAAAAGATAAAATACTAGATTTTGCCACTAAAGCATAGACTACACAGCTATGGTCAGATTTTGAGCATCTCTTGCAGCACGAGCATCAGTCTTCTCACGATCAAAATATGAAGCTAGACTGCATTGAAAATAAACTTTTCTTTAGAGTTTCAGCATATCCAACTACTGTGAACTTAAGTAAAACAAATCAGTCAAGTAGGTGAACCAGCCAAAATAAAAGTTCAGCCAAAAATCAATAAAATACTTTTCTAATTTCGCAAAGAATCATCAGGTCGGGGTTGCTTCTTATGTAAAGAAAAAGAATCAAAGATGGTTTTCTTGCCCCCTTTCTCTCCTTTGTGCATAGAATATGTAAACAGATAAAATTTAGTATCTTTTTTCCTAGCTACAAAAAAACAAATATTTGAACCAGCACACTTTCACACGTTCACAATAATGGCCAATAAGCATGAGCAATACTGATAGGATAGAATTTCAGATCAACAGCAGTAAATTTGGCAAAGATGATGCTCTATAAACATCTAGTTATGACCATTAAGGTACTAATATACAGCTGGCAATGGTGCAGAAACAAGCAGACATGACCATAACAGAAACTGGACCACAATCCCCAAACTAAAAAAGAAAGAGGGCAGAAGAAAGAAAATTCAAATAAGAGAGAGAAAAGCAATATAGTTATCTTGATTCTCTGATTTATGAAGAGCCAGGGACACATATCACAACATGCAAATGCAACAAAGTTTCAAGAGCTCACAGTTTCACAAGATACAGTAGTGTACTTTCAAGTGCTCACAGTTTCACGCAATACAAATGCAACAAAGACTAGAAAGTCAGGATGCGAAGTTAAGGCTTGATTTTCACAATAAGTATCAGCTTTGGACCAACATTAAGCATAAAGTCTTCATCAATAATCAAGTCATTGAGACTTAAGGTTGAAACTCCTCACCTTTTTGCTGTCTATCATTTGCGCAAGTCTTTCATTTGGGCTATCAACTCCTCGTACAGCCCCCTAGTTTCAAGTTGCTGTTCTTGCAAGCTCTTAATTAGCTCCTTTTGGGCATTGAATTCCTCTGTAATTTGTATAGCTCGTTGCTCTGCCACATCTGCCCGTCTTCGATGTTCTTCAATTTCACTCCTCAAGTGGTCAATCTCTATTGCTTGCCTCTTGGTTGTGCTGCGGTTACGAAGCTGTCCAGGTATGTATCCAAGTTGCTGTTGACAAATTTCAGCACTGCTCATTGAAGTTGATGCTTCCATCTCTTTCATTGTTGCCTAGACAAGACAGAATAGCTTAGGTGTTAAAAGGCATGTCACAAAGGAGCTGTAAATGCATAAAAATAGAAGGACATCTCGCACCAAAGTCTCTTTTGCTAGATCATTTATCAGCCCTCCTGTCTTCTTTGATGTATGACTGATTTCAAATATTTCTATCTCTGAAAGCTCCACTCCCACCTTCCTCTTCTGTCAAATAGAAATTTTGACACCTGACTTTGAGAATGAAGAAGGACAAAAAGCATAAGCACATCTCCAAACAGTTTTAATTGATTACTTTCTCTTCAACAACTCTAGCAAGTGACTTTGTTCCCACAGTAGTATGAGTTTCATTCTTGGCACGATTTCCTTTGTTACGGTCACTGATTTTCTGTAATATATAAACAAACAGCAGTAATTCTAAATAAATATGACAAATAAGTTTTATATTTATGCAAGATTAATTCAAGTATATAACTAGACCTTGAATTCTTCACTTCCAAAGTAGTTGCATATCCATGTCCAATCCTCAGCTGATACACCTTCAGGAACATGTTGAATTGCTTCCTCCTTCGTCCCAAAAGTTAGAAAATAGCGATGCAACCGATATCGGTGATTCCGATACAAGGTGTTCAACTGCCTATTTATAGCAGTTTTTGAGGTGATGTTATTCTCAAATTGGAAGTCATCCTACAAGACAAATATAAGTACCGAAAAATTAAATAGAAATACATCAGAATATTGCATAAGTATAAAGATCAAGCAATTCATTCTAGTAGTGATATAAGCAAAAAAAGACAAGTACCGTAACCGTCTTGTATATGTTCTCTCTATATTCAGCCTCAAGATGTGACCATTTGTCAACATTAAGCCTTCCAAACTTCCTAACAACACAGCCACTCTCACTAATGAAGTATTGAGAGTCCTTTCCTATTATGCGAGAATTGGAAGGGTTAACTTCAATAGTTAGAGTTTCATTATCCTCTCTTTTGCGGGCCAAAGTAATGTTTCTAGTACGACCCCTTCTTTTTGGCAATGGCACAGCTATGGATAAACAAAATTCAAGGCTAAATTAGCTATAATAGTTTAACCAAAATAAAAGAACCAGAAATGTAAGTGCATAAGTTGGTACCAGTATTTTCATGTTGACCATCCTGAATTCCAGCAGTCTCATTTGCATCTGATGCCAATGAATTAGGAGTTCGAGGCTGCCCGTTGTTTGAAGCAGCAGTAACATTTTGTGGTGAAGATACTGGCGTCAAAAAGGTATCATTGCCGTTTGAGCTAGTACTTGCAGATGGACCTTGTTGCTGATTTGAAGGTGGTGATGGTTGCTTTTGCTGTGCTTCTCTTCTAAGTGTTTGGGCTCTCGTTCCGAGTCCAGCCATCTGAAAGCAACAACTAACCAAACATCCATTAAACAAAATGTTACTAAAAAGATACTCAAGATGACAAAACAAGATCACATCAGACTAACAAACAAGATGATAAAACAAGATGACAAAACTTTTGGACTAACCAAACATCCATTAAAAAGATAAATTAAACAAGATGACAACATATTGAATCAACTAAACTAGAAGTTGTACTCAAGATACCAACAACCATTGGATTCATATTGAATCAATCGCATCTAACTAGAATCTGTGTCATTGTCACTAAGAATATCCTCATTTTCGTCATCATCGCAACTGTTGGGGTCCCCAATGTCACTGTCATCAATAAAGTCTTCATCAGCTTGTTGAGTTCCTCTCAGCTGTTGGTCACCATGAATAACGGATGAAGGCACGCACTTTAATAGATTGCCATCTTCTCTTGAAATTGGTGGGGGATTATCGAGATCTATTATAATATTGAATTCCCCCCCTGTGCTTCCTCTTGATATATCTCCTCAACTACTGCCTCTTTGTCCACATGTTCAGGAACATCATAACAGTTTCTTGGACCGAACCTCTCAACTACATACCAGTTTCTACCCATTTTCAGGTCTTCAATATAAAATACTTGTTCCATATGTTGAGGAAGGACATAAGGTTGGTCTTCATACCATCTTCTTGATGAATTCACACTTGTGATACCCCAATCCTTGTCTATTTGCATGCCGGCTGTATCATCTAGTTTCCACTAATCACACTTAAATAGGACAATATTTTTCTTTCCAAACCAGCACCTCACTTCAATAATTTCTTTTAGGACACCATAAAAGTCAATGACATTATTACCATGCTCGCCTTTCACTACGATGCCACTATTTTGTGTTTTTCTCTCTCTTTCACGATCTTCAGTGTGAAATCTATACCTATTAGCCATGCAACTAGTATACATACAAATTCTATTGTCTAAACCTAAGGCCAATGAGCGAAATTCATCATTCCAGGGTTGGGAACCATATAACACCTGTCCAGAGATTGAGAAAAGTCACTAAAAATATTATTTAAATTATAGTCATAAGAAGTCCAAACAACTGCAGAGTTAATTAGACCGTACACGTTCTTTGAACCATGTAGCAAACTCCTTATCATGCTGTTGAATCACATTTTCAGTGCATTCAGCTTCCAACAAGGTTTTATGCTCACTAGCCATAAAAGTATGTTAGCATAAGTTTACAGGTGAGTCATAGACATAAAAAAAAGTTAGCATAAGTTATTCTTACTTGATATAGTCATCGAGCTCATCACAGTTATTTAGCAAAAAGGAGTGGATCTTTGCTAGCTCTGAATCAGGTAAATACCGATGTTTAGACCCTCCAAATGGACGAGCAGATCCTGAAAATATTGATAGCTGCCCGTTTTTGTCAACTCTTTCGTTGTTACGCTCGGGCCTGTTGAATATTGTCTCGACATTATCCAAATACATAGAGAAGAATGTCAAGCATTCTTTGTCTATGTACCGCTCGGCAATACACCCCTCTGGGCGAGCCTTATTCTGCACATAACTTTTAAGTATTCCCATTTTCCTTGTTTTAATAAAAATAGGAAATATTAGTAAACGTTAGAGTAAGCGAGACATATTATAATAATGCATGCACAAAAAGACACTATATATGTACGACGTCATACCTCTCAAATGGGAACATCCAGCGATATTGAGCTGGGCCAGTTAGAATTGCTTCGGCAGGTAGGTGAACCAGCACGTGTAGCATTATGTCGAAGAAGGCAGGAGGGAATAGTCTCTCTAATTTGCACATAATCACAGGAATTTTGCTATCACACTCTTGTAGAACATCCCTATGCAATGTTCTAGCACACAACTTTTTAATCAAATCACTTAATTCAAACAGCACTTGTCGAACTTCTTTAGTTAAGCTTCCACGAATTGCAAATGGGAGTATTCGTTGAATGAAAATGTGAAAGTCATGGCTCTTCATTCCGGAAAGCTGGAATTGCCCATTCTTTATGCATCGAGATATATTAGAGGCAAAGCCATCCGGAAATTTGATGGAAGCTAAGAAATCACAGTCTTTTTTCTTCTCCTCTTTAAATAGCTGGTAGCAAGCATGAGGCATGATGTAAACATCACCATTCTGAATCAAATGCAACTCTTTTTTGATACCTAACTCCTTCAAATCATTGCGACACTGCCAGTTGTCTTTAGTCTTGCCATCAAAATCCATAATAGTAGCAAAGACACTCTCCGATATATTTTTCACTATATGCATGACATCTAAATTATGCCGCAATTTTAGGTTTGACCAATAAGGTAATTCAAAAAAGCAACTTTTCTTTGTCCAATTAAGCCCACTAGCATCACGTTTGCGCTTCCTTGCCTTGATTTGCTGAAGAGTTTTCCCAAACTGTATCTCAATTCTTTCTAGTTGTTTCAGAACTTCTTTTCCAGATAAGGGAATAACAGGATTCCTAAAATCTACTTTACCATCAAATGGCTTTCTTTCTCTACGCCAATGATGATCAATAGGCAAGAAGCGATGATGGCCTGTGTAGCATAATTTTTTCCTATGTTTCAAATGCATACAGGATGTTTCTGCCATGCAAATTGGACAAGCCTGATACCCTTTAGTACTCCATCCAGATAACATAGCATAGGCAGGGAAGTCATTTATAGTCCAAAGCAAAGCAGTACGAATGGTAAATTTCTGACCAGTATGTGCATCATAACTTTCTAGACCATCCCAAAATTCATTCAACTCATCTATTAGAGGTGCCATGTAGACACAGATCTCATTTCCCGGGGATTTAGGACTAGGAATCAACATTGACATGAAAAAGAATGGGTCTTTCATACATTTCCAGGGAGGCAGATTATATGGTACAATAAAAACGGGCCAAATGCTATAAGTCGATGTCATGGTTCCAAAAGGATTGAAACCATCAGTCACAAGGCCAAACCTGACATTTCTAGGATCATGAGCAAAATCTGGATATAATTTATCAAAATCTTTCCATGCTTCGCTGTCTGCCGGATGCCTCATGGTGTTACCATCATCTACACACTTTTCTTTATGCCACCGCATATCTAAAGCTATTTACTTGTGTGCATATAAGCGTTGAAGCCTGGGTTTCAAGGGAAAATAGCGAAGAACTTTTCGTGGAATTTTTGAACCCTTTGACTTGTAGCGAGCCTCTTTGCAATTTGGATTTGGACAAGTGTCAAAATTTTCATATTCCTTGCGGAAGAGTACACAATCATTGACACAGGCATGTATTTTTTCAGATATGAACCCCAAGTCTCGAATAATTCTTTTAGCATCAGAGAAAGACTTAGGAACTGCAACTTCGGGAGGTAGTGCCTTCTTAAAGACCTCTAGCAAGGAGTTAAACGAGTTTATAGTCCACCCGTTCATCGTTTTCAGATGTAGAAGAGTGACTACAAAAGACAGCTTTGAGAAAAAGGTGTTTCCAGGATAAAGTTCCCTATTTGCATCTTCCAACAATTTTAGGAAGGCATCAGTCTCACTAGCATTCAAGCCTGAACTTCCTTCACCATCATCTTCCCTACTAAACCAATTTCCCCCCCATTGTGCAGTGCCTATGTCATTGAGCATATGGTTTAAATCCTCACTGTCAGTATCCCCTTCTTCATCACCGCCCAGATTACTATCCTTTCTAATTTCCTGTCGAAATTGTTCACCATGGTGTATCCATCTGGTGTAACTTTTTCTAATTTCAAATGTAAATAAGTGGTTTTCCACCACACTTTTTGTATGGTTGCAGAAGTTATTGCATTGTTTACAAGGGCAAGCTATCATAAGATGTTTTGCCTTTCCAGAATATACGAAGTTTAAGAAAGCAGCCACCCCAAGTTTATAAGACTCGTCCTGCCTATTATCAAGTCTCATCCAATTTTTGTCCATTTCCTAGAGTTACAAATCCAGAACATAAGTCACAAATTTTTATCTACACATTACAACCAGAAAAAAGCATAGATAAGCTAGTTATGAAGCAATAGATTTACACTGGAAAGCTATAAATCTGTTAAAGCAATCTATTAAAGCAAAAACAAGTTAGATCTTCAAGAGACAATTACACACTTTCCAGAACACAAGTCAAAAACAATCTATTAAAGCATAATTTAAACAAGTTACCTGACACATAATGAGAAATTAGAAGAACAGCGGTAAAAAGGGCCTAATTGTCTCTTGAGTCCAGTGTAAAGCAGCTGCAACAAAGGCATTAAAAAAGCTGAGAATCATTTTTGAACAAAAGCTCTAATAAAAAAGCTGATTAGTGAAGAAATATATAGAAAGCAGATACCCAAACATAATGCACCAAGTGTGGCAATCCGTTTAATGGGAGTAGATATGTACCATCAGAAACAAAACCTTTTTTCAATTCTTTTTTGAAAATCTCATAAGAGTTTCAATTCCTCACTCTCTGGGTCAGCAAGGCAAAGTTTCCAGCAACACTACTTCAAAATTTTCCCCAAAGTTCCATATTCTACTTGTTTAAACACTAAACGCTCAACATATTATCTGACCAGCATGAACTATAGCAGATAACCCACCATTTAAGCAAGTAATTCCACCATGAACCTCAAAATAATTCTGTCATCTCCTAACTATAACTTTCAGCCATATGACAGTTTAAAAATACGATTCTTTCTTCACATTTTCTTCAGTTTTAACTCCAACACAACATGCAAGGAATGATTATGTTATCTCAGAGTATTTTAAGCTGCAAGATAATATTTTCAGCCAGAGATTCGAAGTTAATATTAAACAATGTTTTGTTTCCCTCTCTCGGCCATATTAGAAAGGCTTTAGCAGCCAACAGCTTTTAAAACAAGAAAATTCTCCAATAATCTCTTCATTTAATACCCAATCTCACATGCATGTTCATTTCCCTCTCTAGGATGAAGTTGGCAAAATTCCAGCAGGCTTTCTTCCTATGGTCTCAACCCAAATAGTAGTATTGAAAGCAAAGGCACAGAGATGTAAATCTATAGACAACAATGTAAATTTCGTCCTTGATGAAATAAAATCCGTCATGCATCTATAGACAATAGAATAAAGTAAGGGCGACCCAGAATCAACCCTCCCTTCCACTTCGTTTCACTCTCACAACTCAACATTCAGCGCACACGACCTAAATTAGACAGAACTGTTCGAAAATAGATGGAAAATATTGACAATTTTTACCTCAAATTATGCCGTCTTAACCTTAGGTCTTCTTTTCCTTCTGATTCAGTCTTCAAACTCTGGCATTTCCCCAAAATTCATGGTCAAATGCCGTGATGAACTAGGGATATTTGTTATCTCCTACTCTACTAAAGCTGCCCTATTAGTTTCGGTAGCTCAATTTAGGGATGCAAATGGTGGCTTAACTTAGGGATATTTGCTATCTGCTACCTACTAAAGCTGCAATTTCAGTTTGGGTAGCACAATTTAGTGATCCCAGTGGAGAGAAGGAGAAGAAGATGGTGTCCGAAGGCAAAGAAAGAGGGAAATGAGTTTTGTCTGAAATTTGGCTAAGTGTTGTTGAGTGCTTTTCTTACAAATCAACTTCAAACGACGTCGTTTTTGCTTAATTTAGAACCCCGCCTCTACTCCTTCAATTTTCAGATTCCCGCTTCCACTATTGCACATTAAAAAAGAACGCCTTCTCTCTCTAAATTGTTGAACCTTTTTTTATAGAAATAACGCCTTCTATCTCTTTTTCTTTTCCCAATCTTTGCGCAATTAACATAGTTATTATTTTAAGCTTTTTTAGTTCACAAGTTGTATTAAAACTTTGGAATATAAAAATTTAGTATTTTTAGATTTTTTCTTTTTCTACTAACATTTGCTACATTTGGATTACCTATTTTTGGGGGTATTTTTGAAAAACTTTGCAGTAGCAGAATTTTCAGAGTATATTTTGAAATATTTTTAGAAAATATTTTGGAATATTTAAGAATAGAAGAGTTTCTAAAATATTTTTAGAGATATTTTTTAAACTTTTACAAAAATTTAAATTAATTTATAGATTATCTTTTAGTGTACTTTTTAAAAATTTTTATTATATTCGAAAAACTAATTTTTGAAAATTTTTATTATATTTTTGAAAATTTTACAAAAATTTAAATTAATTTATAGATTATTTTTTAGTGTACCTTTTAAAAATTTTTATTATATTCGAAAAACTAATTTTTGAAAAACACTCCAAAAACTCTTGATCCAAACAGTTATGACAGATGCAACCAAACAAGTGAACAGTTCGGCGAAGGTCGACAAAATTGATTCAAGGCATCTCAACATTAGGATCTCTACCAAAAATAATGTTCAAAAACTAAAACGCTTATTAAAAATATGTTTATGATTCAAAAAAAGATCTTTTAATGCAAATATTTTTTATATCAATTTAATAATTTTATCAATTATGCACGAATTGTGGTCTGACAAGACCAAACAATATGTTTAGTTGATCAAATAACCAAAATGGTTTACTAATACATGCATGAAACACTAAATCTATTTGATACAAGTATTGATTCATAAACTATAGTTCCAATTTGATTATTGTATATTGTAATACATAACAAACTCCAGTTATGCAATTGTCAAGATTTTTACTTAATTTCATATTAAATTTTATTATTCTCTACTATTATTTTCACACTATGTTAATCAGTAATTTTCCATATGTTTTCAAGAGAACTAAATAATGAATTCATGATATTTTTTAACTTTATAACTAGGTATTAGTTACGTTTGGAATAATTAAAAAATAGGTAAACATTGCTTTTTACAATACCTTCCTCATTTTGCTAATAATGAACACAACTTAAAGTGTAAAAGTGTAGGGTGTCATAATAGAATTAATAAAGCCTTTCTTTATCAGATACGAGGCTAAATTGCAAAAGATAAGGTGTCATGGTAGATTAATAAGATTAGTTTACCAAATACGGACCTAAAATATAAAAGTTCAGCGAAATAACATAATTAATTAAATTTACTTACAGCATATGGGCTATATACAAAAAATTAGGGTGGCATATCGGGCTAAAATGTAATAGTTATGGTGTCATATAGTAGAATTATTAAAATTTATTTACAACACATGGGCCATATCGAAAAATTAAGGTGGTATATGGGGCTAAAATGTAAAAGTTAGGGTGTCATAGTGGAATGAATAAAATTTATTTACAACATATAAGCCATATTGAAAAAATTAAGGCGGTATGTGGGGTCAAAATGCAAAAGTTAGGGTGTCATAGTAGAATTAATAAAATTTGTTTATAACACATGGGCCATATTGAAAATTTTAAGGTGGTACATATGGGATCAAAAAGCAAAAGTTAGGGTGTCCTACTAGAATTAATAAAATTTATTTACAACATATGGGCCATATTAAAAATATTAGGGTGACATAGCAGAATTAGTGAAAGTGGGATGAGAATAAACGCATTGTACAGTGACGACAACTCGTTGTCACTAATTTAGAACGTATCACCATATTGTGACGATATTAAAACGTTGTCACTGAAGTTGGTCCTACAGTGACAACGTCTTTTCCAGTCGTCACAATGGTCATCTCCCGCCAACTGCACAGTTGCGCGCCAGCCATACTGTGACGACTTATTCCTTATTGTCACTGTTGACGGGTGAACATACGATCAATAATGACAATTTTTATTTTTGTCACGAAAGACTTCAATTGTGACAAGTTTCTGTATTGTCACAGTGAATGTTGTCACAAAAGGCCAAATTTCTTGTAGTGGTAGGTAAAATCTATTCTTCAAAAGGATATAATTTTGATATCTTAAGTAAATATAATGCAATTTATTTTATCGCCCTTTTTCTTTTATTTGCCAGTGAGCCTATCAACATCTAATCCTAATGAAATAAGCATCCAACATCTTGTATCATGAGCAAATTACCCAAGTAACCACTAAACTTTTCAAATAGTCTAGTTTTGGCAATTCAAATAGTCAAGGTTTGGCAATTCAACTATTAATAGTATATTTTTATCTATTGCACTATTAAAAGTGTAAATTTTGACTCATTCTGTTTGATTTCACCATTAACTTTGCCAA